GGGACAGGGATGGGGGACGGGGATAGGACAGGGATGGGGGACAGGGGTGGGGACAGGGATGGGGGAGAGGAGACAGGGATGGGGGACAGGGATTGGGGACAGGGATTGGGGACAGGGATAGGACAGGGATGGGGGACAGGGGTGGGGACAGGGATGGGGGAGAGGAGACAGGGATGGGGGACAGGGATTGGGGACAGGGATTGGGGGGACAGGGATGGGGACAGGGATGGGACAGGGATGGGAACCAGGGGACAGGGATGGGGACTGGGATGGGGGACAGGGATGGGAACAAGGGGACAGGAACACGGGACAGGGATGGGGACAGAGATGGGAATCAGGGGAGAGGAATACGGGAGAGGGATTGGGGACAGGGATGGGAACCGGGGGACAGGGATGGGGACTGGGATGGGACAGGGATGGGGGACAGGGGACAGGGATGGGACAGGGATGGGAACCAGGGGACAGGGATGGGGACAGGGATGGGGGACAGGGACGGGGGACAGGGACGGGGCCCAAGGCCCTGGGGACAGTCCCAGCCCCCCCCATGACCCTCCCCCCCCCTCAGGTGACGAGCAACGGCAGCGCCGGGGGAGGGGACGGGGCCGAGACGCCGCGACAGCCCCAACAACCCGCCCCCAACGCCTGGCAGGTCATCAAGGGGGTCCTGTTCAGGTGAGCCCCCGACCCGGGGTCAGGGGCACCCCACAGACCATGGGGGGGACACCGGGACCCCAAAAGGCCAGGGGGGGACCCCAAAACCCTCTGGGGTGACCCCAAAACCAGGGGGGGTGACACCAGGACCCCAAAAGGCCAGGGGGTGACCCCAAAACCAGGGGGGGTGACATTGGGACCCCAAAAGGCCAGGGAGGGACCCCAAAACCAGGGGGGGTGACACCAGGACCCCAGAAGGCCAGGGGGGACCCCAAAACCATGGAGGGGGTGACATCAGGACCCCAAAAGGCCAGAGGGTGACCCCAAAACCAGGGGTGGTGACATCGGGACCCCAAAAGGCCAGGGGGTGACCCCAAAACCAGGGGGGGTGACATCAGGACCCCAAAAGGCCAGAGGGGGACCCTAAAACCAGAGGGGGTGACATCAGGACCCCAAAAACCCTTTGGGGTCACATTTGGACCCCAAAAGTCCAGGGGGTGATCCCAAAACCATGGGGAGTGACATTGGGACCCCAAAACTCCAGGAGGTGACCCCAAAACTTCAGGGGATGATCCCAAAACTCTAGAGGGTGACCCCAAAACT